GAAAATGTTGAGAAGCCCAAATTGCCCAAACTAGTTTGGGCTTTGAGAAAACAGTTTGGACCAGAAACCTTAGTAATGGTATATATAACAGGGTATAAACTAGGTGGTTATAAACACGCCCATCACTATCTACAATGAAATTTTAATATAACATTCGTTGAAATGTGATTAGTATGTAATTCTGGTATAACTAATTTTAAATGCAATTTTCTTACCTAAAAACATTTTTTATTAGAAGCATAAATATTGTTAAACATGAAATCTTGAATTGTTCTCATTTAAAATCTTCGAAATTGTTTAATAAATTATTGATGATTTAAATGTTCGAAAATTCAAGTGTGTTTACAATTTATCATTGTTTATTATTCTACAATTATTCAATCATTTGCAAAATCGTGATTTTACAAAAATAATATTAAATTTCGAGTTGGCTCGAGCTAAGTATAAACTCGGCTCGGCTCATTCGGAGGGTCATTGTAGAGTTTCAATCAGTAAAATCAATATATTTATTTTTTATTTATTTAATTTGTTTGAATAATGAGCATACATAAGAGAGTCAAGGTCAAATGATAGTAATTAACGATATCTTTGCAAAAGATATCTATATTCATATATTGTTATAATTATTATTTGATTAAATACGTCGCTATAAAATATCTGATCTTTTAATAGGTTCTAAATTTCACAAGAACAAAGTAATGGTTGATGAAAAGTGATATATTATGAATCATATTTATTAAAAATTTATATAGAGCAACGGGAGGTGGAGTTGGTGTAATTTCAATTTAAATATATTTTTAAAGTAATTTTCACGTATTCTATTTTGATTTTTTTCCGATGTCATCATAATGTTTTTTTTTTTTTTATTGGTTATTAATTATATATATATATAGTAAAAATACAATAATTACAAATTTAAATAAACAAATCTAATTAATATTAGATTAGACCGTTTGGGACAACAGATCGCCACCTTCCTTTCCATGTGACTGCTAGTTCCTGAGAATAACATTTAATAGTTATGGCCACACTTTATGTATTATATTTTGCTCACTGAATATGTCATGTGATTTATATCGATCCCAAAAGAAAAGTTTTGTCAAAGGCAATGAGTACGAGCAGACACTTTAAAAAGAAAGCCTGGTATACAACAAAAGAACTAACATAATACGCCTCTCTATCAAAAAAATACTTTAATATGCTAGGCTGATTTCGGGAAGATTAGGAATAATCTGATAAACAATGGTGCTTACGTCGTCCGATAAAAAAGAAAATACGTAATATATATTAATACTAATACGGAATAGCAAAAACGCAGGATTATTATGTGAATTTGATAATTGAGTTGAATGAAATTATTGGATTGACAAAAATTTTGATTTTCGAATTATATGAAAGTTTAAATTTTTCGAATTTTACAAAGTCTTGATTCGTCGCGCATAAAATCATTTGGCATTCTCAGAATTAAAATATTTTCTAGAGTAAAATGATTGACGTCAGGCGCATGATCACGACCCTTCTTTTACTTGTAAATGTTTCTTCTTCTTTTAGATGTAAATAATTGAAGCCAGAAGAAATACGAAATTAATTGGAGATGAAACTGTTTAGGCTTGCATTAATATAAAGATGAAAAAAGAATTTTTAATAAAAATGATAATTAATTCGAAATTACTTATTTAATTCGAAATTACTTATAGAGAATTTTTTATTTGTTTTTTGTTTTTGGAATTAATTGAATGTATAATAGTAAATTCTCATGAAAACAAATATAAAAATAGGAACGGGAAAACCATATTGTTGTGATCATACAACTAAATATAGAGTCGGAAAAACTCTATTACAAGTACCTGATCGGATCTCGAAAATTGATTGGTGTATTTTTTTGTTTATATGAAACGATATTTAATATACGAAAACCAACAAAAATCAATGAGATTCGTCATCTTTACTCTACTTCTGAATCGTACACAATGTTTACAATAGGGTTTTCCCGGTCCTATATGAATTGTAATAATAATAATAATAACAAAACAATAATAATAATAACCATAACCATAATAATATGATCAGGTTAATGTTTAATGTGCAAACCACGTATTCCATTTATTAAATACAATTTTTGGGGAAGCATGAGATAAGTGTATATCTTACTACTTTGAATTATCCAAATGGTAAAAAACAGATTTTCTATCTAACTTCCGTAATTAGTATATGCTATTTTTTTTCTTTAATACTATATTAGTAATTTTTCTCCATAATAATAATTTATTTGGTTGCGCCACATGCAATAAATAATTTATAATTTTGTCTTGCATTTGTTTTTTTTTTTTTTTTTTTTTTTCTTTTTTGTTTTTTTATATTAACGTAGTCATTTTTAATTCTGTGAAAGGTAAGGGTTTTACAAAACAGTAAATTATTCATCAGAAAAGGCAGTGAATTTAACTTTAAAAAAATTATTACATTGTTCTAGGTCGACATTTATAAAATAAAACTTTGTTTGGCTGTTTGAGCCTACTACACCTTTAGTGATATTTTTGAAGACTTTAAATGATCGGTTTTACAATCGGTCCCGAAATTTATTTATCATTTATTAATATTAATATTTTTATTCTTATTATGCGAAGTATAAACATGTCGTTTTTTGTCATTATTTATTTTTCAAGATAAATAAAATTAACGGATTTTCCCTCGATGTTCTAAACAAGTTTTCTATAATTATATACTTCTAGAATAAATTTTAGTTATGATAAACAAATAAGATAATAGATTACGTATTTTTTATGGGAATATAAATTCTCAATTTCGGTTATTTATATTATTTGTTACTATGAGTCAAAATTATGATGTCGATCAATCGACTTAAAAAAATTTCAATCCAAACTTGGCATTATACTCTAATTTAACCCTCAACGAGGAAAATTTTTTGTTTGTATGAGCTAAAGATAATAATAATGTGTGAATAAAAAATTTATCCTTACGTTGGATCAACAATTCCCCTTTTGTTTTGTCATTTTTGAATGATAAATTCCGGAGAGCTTAGACCCGAATTAAAAAAAAATTAGGAATTTAATCTAATTTAATTCACAGAATTAATAAACTTAATTCAAAAGGTCAAGAATCCAAAAACTTTGTGAATCTATTTTTTATTTACTTTGGTCATATGATGTTAATGATTGAGAATTTTTTTTATATAAATATAAAGCGATCAAATTCAAAACAAAAAAAAAAAAGATTTTTTAATTTTAACGTGTTTTAAAATTATTTATTCTTATATATATATATCCGCATATTAACATCCTCCTGCTAAAATATCCTTCTTTTTTACATCCTTTGAAACATGGGATACTGGAATAAAGAGCAATATGCTGCATGGTCACCTTCCTCTGTACCTAAATTATTTCCACCAAATCGTAGTCATGGACCAGACTTACAAAAAATAGTGTATCACTTGTATTGTTTAAAAATGAAATTAAAATCAAAGGAAGATCTAAAGAAAATTTCGACGGAAACTCGTAAATATCTTAATTTGATGTTTCGATCAGTATGTTCATGTCAAGATTTCAAAGATTTACAAAATCCTTTGATAAGAGACAGTTTGGATATTGCGTTATCCGATATTCTTGACAATATCATTCCTAGTATCGAACTAGGGAATCCACCGCCGTTTATTCCTTTTCGTGAAACTTCTTACACGATGTTAAATGATTTTCGAAATATCGAAATGATTTGTGATGATTTGATGACTGACTTGGAAGAGTACGCGGAAATCGACGAAGAATTTAGTGGTATGCCTCGATTAGTTAAAGTTTTGTTAACTTTATATCCTAATAGTAAATAATAATAAGATTCATATTAATACAAATATAAATATTATAAGTTATGACAAAATTTTTCTTTTGTAAAATATATTTATTTTTATTATATATATATGTAATAGATTTGATAGACTTTTTTTATAAAACTTTATTTTTATGTAATATATTTTATAATTACAAATTTAGATAATTAGATAAAATCAATTCTTAAAAGGGAAGAAAGGAGGAAAAAAAATTTTTATTTTAAAAACCAATCATTTTCAATTAATTTAAGAAAAATAATCAAGAAATTTTTTTATATGAATGTAATTAATTTTTTTTTGGAAATAATATTTAACAAATATGTAAAGTGGTGAGACAAAGACCGCCCTTTAAGGCAATTTTTAATAAATTTACTAAATGCACCAATTCTTCTCTTGCAAATATTCTTTTGAAGTATACAGCACTGACCTTCCTACTTTGGGAAACTGATCATTGCGATCTAGGTTTTTTTCCATCAGATATTAATGTCTGAGAACTTCGTTCCCAACAATTCTTTCACGATTGTTGTCTTCATTGATTCTTATAGTGACAATTTTTTTGAACAGATAATTTCTTGCCTCGTTCTATTAACAGGGTCAAGGGAATTACCAACCAATTTTGCGTGACCACCTAAATTATGACCTTAACATTAGTTTAAACACGTTTAGCAGGCACCGAATATTCCGAGGGAGTATCGAAGTAAGCTGAACTATTGACAGCAGAATAACAATTGTATGTATAACTAAGAATTTTCGAATTCGTGTAACAACTCTCCAAATAAAGTTACTGTTATAATCACATCTATTCAAAAATGGCATTATATTTTCGCTTTCAATTTGCTTTAAATGCTTTAGCTTCATATTTATTTCATAATAATAAATAGTAAATGCAGGTAAAGATCAAAAAGTCAAATTTGGTATATAGGAATAACTGCGCAGATAAATGGGACTCGAGTGTTGGAAAATAACAGTTAGCTTCATTTGTAGCGGAAGAATATTCTTATCTATTATTACTAAAAGTGTATAATAACCAATAAATAACATTATTAGAAAGAGAGGCTGCTAGTTCCAATTGTAGTTGGTTTATTTTATTTATTTTCTGCTTGTACTCATTTTTTCCATAAATGACTGAATGAATTTATTAATTTGGTAATTTAATCTAATACCGAAATACGCGTGCGAACTATCGAGAATATAAATTAATTAAAAAACCGGTTTTATTAAAGAATACATGTATTGTAGATTCCTCGTCCGACTTGTTATTATATATATATATATATATATCATATCTACAGCAAATCTTAATAGTAAATGTAAAAACGATTTTTTTTGTTTACTATTAACCCAATTCATTTTTCATAATTAACCGTTGTTTGTTACAGCGAGTTCAACTTTGACTGCACCACATCTAAATATTTACTTCAATATAAATTGGCAATGCTATTTAAATGTTATTAATAATTCGTATTCTTGATCAAATTTGACATCCTCATTCACTTATTTTTCATTATTATGGTATCACAAAAATGGTTGCATCTATGTTTCTTTCTATTTAGAACATTAGTAATGTTTTTTATCTAATATTAATATAGATCCCCAAGTCGTGACAATTTCAAATTGTACATGTGATTGGCTTAATTTAGCCTTTTATGTCTTGACGTTCTATGTTCTTAAAAGGTGCATTGCACATATTAGAAAGAAAAATATTACTTTAAAAGAGATGGTAGATCAACAAGTGGCCGATTTAAAGAAAATCCCAATCGAATTGGTAGATTATCAGATCCACTTTAAAAATGATAACAACGTTGCACCAACACAATCTGATAAAAATAATATACCGTATAATACACTATTTTTAAATTCGTGTTTCCTTTTTGTCATGTAGTACAAAGTATATTATGATCAGTTTAAAGCTGCGTAAAAATTCTTTTTAGCTATCGAATTTCAAATGAAATATTTTGATTGGTTAATTTAAATTTCATGCGCATCAGGAAAATTTTTCCGCCATAATATTACTCTTCTATTATTATTATTATTATTATTACGTTTGTTTGCGTGTTAATATTATGGAATATTACGGGTCCCGGTCTAAACTTACACAAGGATCAGTAGTGTAATAATTATGTAATTTCGCGCCAGAAAAATTTTCCTCGAGTTAAAAAATATTAGTCTTTTAGACTTGCATATAATCTCTCTGTTATATAATCACACAGGGATATGGTCACTTTTATTATTATTTCTCAAATGTTATTTTATGACTTTTACCGTGAGAAATTCTAATATTCCATTATAAATGTTACCAACTTAAAAGGTTTTTGTTAACTTTCTGGTCTTTGCTAAAGAAAACAAATACAAAGTTTAATAAAACTTTGTAACAAATAAATTTTAATAAATAAAATCAATCCTTAAAATTTGTTAACAATCTTTCTTGTTTGTGGAAAAATAAAAGTAACGGTTTTACTTTCGGTTAAATTTCTTTGATAAAAGACAACGAATGTGGTGTAGTGCCTTGGTAAAAAGACAACAGTAATCGAGCTTCGCTAATAAGCCACGTTTTATTTGCTTTGGTTGGTAAACAAAAGCTTAGTACTAACGTTGGTTAGCTGGCGAGAGTGTTAGCGACGATTAGTAACGTGATTTTCTTTAGCGAATAAGCAAAGGTTTGTTATTAACGTTGGCCAACCAGTGAGTGCTAACAACGGCTAGTGATATTAATCGACAAGCACCTAAATATTTGACAAGAGCAAGCCCAAAGTTAAGTCACGTTTGTCAAAAAAGCTATCTTGCACTAGTTAAACCCTCCGTTTTGGATTTGACTAAAAAAAAACAATGTGCAATTTCAAATATTCATACCTGGGAATTAGATGCTCCTAAAGATGTCGAATATAGGTTAATAGGAACCAAATAAGCCCAATCAAGTTTTTAGTTGAACGTGATGGAATTAAATTATAATTCTTTATAAATTTGTTCATGATCGATCTGATAGCACTATACTTCATTTTTGACTAAAGAAGGGAAGAAAAAAAAGGATACACTTTTTTTTATTTATCCTCCCATAAAGTTCCTTCCTTTTTTATGAACAAGTTCTGCGCCAAGGAGGCCTTCCAAAATAACTGAATTCCTTTTTATTTTCATCATAATCATTAATACTTCTTCTTGTCCATGTAGCAGTAAAAATTGAACTAAGGTATCCATTTTAAAATACAATTTGGCAGAAATGATTTCATTTGATGTTGTTGGATAAAGTTGTCAATTATGTTATTTCCAGTTGAAAAGACTTATAATTGTAAACTAATACAACCTTCACAGAACCTATCAGAGTATCTTGTCAGTTTACATTTGTCAATTCATCTCTTGCATTTTTTAATTCAAAGTCATAAACAATATTTTTTTTCATTTTTAGAAAGCTCCTTGTTTTTCTTGACTAATGAAAAAAAATAATCTTTTTACTTTCTCTATCAGAATTAGCATTAGCATTATTATGCATTTCATTGTCAATTTTATATACAACATCCCTTTCTTTCTGATGATAATGATGATAATAATTTAGCATGTGACATTATATATATATACACCAAATCGAATTTTATATGTTATATTTGTAACAAACAATTTTTTCGTACAATGTTTTTATATTAATATTTGACTTTAAACTTTCATTTTGTGATTCACTATCAGATAATTGCTTGCTTAGTTTCTCTAGTAATTCTTTATTTACTTTTTTTTGTGCTTCCATGATGTTTGTCATAGTTTTTTTTTATTCTTTTAATATACTTATATCCTTTTTATAATAAGTATATAAATATTTTTTACTTTAAAACTAACAATATTTGTCAAAAGATTAATATTTTATTTGTCGCCAGTATGGAATGGTTTTGGGCAAGTAACATCTTTGTATTTGTCTTTCACAAATGGGCGAATATTCTGGTAAAGATATTCTTGCCTTTTGTAATCCAAGGAGGATAATCATGTATTTTTCCGCAAAAATATCCACAAATCGCCAAATCAATTTCTAAAGGATAACACGCACCCAACCCACCAATAAAATTGGATATTTTCATGATGCTGCGCAAATTTTTGCGGAACAATACAATACATGATTTTCAAAGGAGGTGGTATTAACACTAAAATAAATAAAGTTCTAATTTCTTCAAAAATATCTGTTTTCTTGGTTTTCAATAAATTGAATTCAGAAAAAGGTCCATTAGCAATTTCCTGAGCTTTGACCATACCAAGATTAGTTGCTTCAAAAAGAAAATGTTAATATTTCTGGATACTTGGTAATTTCTTGAAATAAATTCTCAAAATTGTTTTAATATCTAAGTATTGAAAACCTTTTCCACCTTCATAACATTGAGCTTTATTTAAACCTGCTAGACTAGACTTTTTTATCACTTCAACCACATGGTCCAAACAATCTACTCTTGTTCTTCTATAGAGTTTTTTAATCATACCAAAATTACCATCACATTTAAATTTGGTATGTCCTGGAATCACAAAATTCAATTCAATACTTTCATAATAACTACAAATTACTAAATATAAATAAAATCAAATAGTCACATTATTGTTATTTTGTCCACCTGCATTATCACAAGTAATCTTTAAATGTTTTTCACCTTTATTCAATTTCTTAATTCCATCAAAGATCAAACTAAGAGTGCCATTAGGTCCTTTTCCTATAATTTCATCTTCATTAAGAACATAATTAATTTGTTCCCTTACTGCTTCATCTTGAATACCAAA